ACTTTTGAAACTTTCTTTATTTTAAATTCACAAATGTAATTTCCGATAAGTTCTTTGAAATTTGCATCCCACTTTACACTAATATTTCTTAACGTACTACATTTTCGATTGTGCTTGTCTTTTTTAAGAGGATTGCAACATTTGTTTCTTCCTGGCATTTTGACTAATACGATACGAGTACAGAATGAAATTGCATTTTTTCAGTCATAAAAATATACACATAAATCAAATCAGCGCATAACAAGTTAAATAAATGTTGATAATGTACGCAAGTCAACAGGTAATATGGACAAAGTTAAACAAGTAAGAAAGTCTTAAGTTCGGGCGGAGGCGAAAATTAAATACCCGGCGCAAGTATTAAATAAAAGATTTTCACCTTTCCGAAAGCTACCGCTACATGGTACGCCGGGATGTATCAATTTTGAGTAAATTAACGTCCTTAAATTTCGAAATATTGAAGTTTCAAACTTTTATGAAATTTACCGTTATATGAACAGCGGCATCAATTTTAGTCCGATTTTAATAACTTTCAACGTTTTGCTTTTATGTGGCAAGCACAATAACCGTACCGAGTTTGGTAAAAATTGGTAAAACGGTTTCCGAGATACATATATACCCATTTTCCAAAATTTTATCATAAACGTATTTCTTGGTAAAGAATTGTGGCAAGCATCAATTTTGAATAAATTAGCTTTAATATTTACTGATTTATCGAAGATTTCGTATTTCTCCAAATTACCGTTATATGGGATGTGGGTGTGGTTATTGTCCGATTTTAAAAATTTTCGGCCATTTGGTATGCTGAAGCAAGGCTAACAACTGTGTCAAGTTTGAAAGAAATTGGTGCATCGGTTACTAAGATATACATATGTGACAATAGGTGGGCGTGGCTACGCCCATTTTCCAAAAATTTACAATATTCTAATTCTTCGTCTAAAAATTAATGTAAATATCAATTTTGAGTGAATAATCTTCAGTAGTTACTAAAATATCGCAGTTTTCGTATTTCTGAAAATTACCGTTATATGGGAGGTAGGCGTGGTTAGCACTACATACCATTTTTTCTTAAAAAACGAGAGCTACAAATTTTTTCTTTCCACAACAAATTTTAAAGTTAAATGCTACAATTATTGGCATAGTAACACATTGGATATCTTAGTTCTATCGACTAGGTGTATGGTGTCAAGTTAGCACTACATAGCATTTTTTAAGAAAAAATTTTTCGTCTAAAAATTATTGTAAATATCAATTTTGAGTGAATAATCTTCAGTAGTTACTAAAATATCGCAGTTTTCGTATTTCTGAAAATTACCGTTATATGGGAGGTAGGCGTGGTTAGCACTACATACCATTTTTTCTTAAAAAACGAGAGCTACAAATTTTTTCTTTCCACAACAAATTTTAAAGTTAAATGCTACAATTATTGGCATAGTAACACATTGGATATCTTAGTTCTATCGACTAGGTGTATGGTGTCAAGTTAGCACTACATAGCATTTTTTCTTAAAAAATGAAAGCTAGAAATTGTTTTCTCTCCACAACAATGCCCGATTTTGCCCATTTTCAATACCATCCGTCCTACGCCCGAAAGAAATGCACGTACAAAGTTTCCTTAAGATATCTAAATTTTTACTCGAGGTATCGTGTGCACAGACGGACAGACGGACAGACAGTCACCGCTTAATCGATTTCTCTTTTTATTCTGATCATTTATGTATACATTTGTCTGTATTAGAGGTTTACGCCGACAGGCCTTGCGGCGGAGGCGTGGTCAACTTCAAAAATAATCGGTGGCGGCGGCGACTCCGGCGCGTCTGGAAACGCCGGCGCTACTGCCCATAAGAGCCATAAGGCTACTAATCTTATCATGTCATCTCGTCAGCGTTAGGCATTCGCCGTGTCAATTCAGATTATAATTCTACTTATTTCATTATTAAATTAGTTTTAAATTTAAATATTGTTACTTCCTACTTGAATTAAAATGTTGAGTGTCTGGCGCTGTTGGATGGGCGAACAGAAGAGGGTCTAACGCAAAGAAACTTACTTGTGAAAATTGGGCCAACAACATCTCAAGTGGCAGTTAATGCATGGTCGGGCATACCACAGGTCACGCATTGTGGACCACTCTTGTTTATTCTATTTATAAACGAATTGCCTAACTGTTTTAATTTTGCAAACTGCCTGATGTTTGCAGATGGTGTTAAGCTTTTTTCAGTTGTGTGTGATCTCTAAGATTGTAATCGTCTTTAGCTCGATCTAGATGAATTTCAGCAGTGGTGTACATTAAACTGTTTGAATTTAAATATAGGTAGATGTTGTGTAGTTACGTTCTCGAGGCAGTCTAGTAGTGATATACATAGCTTTTGACTATAAATTAGATGGTGGCGTTATAAAGCGGAGCACTGAAATAAAAAATTTGGGCATTATTTTTGACTCCAAACTCGCGTTTACAAAACACGTTGACTATATTGTATCTAAATCGTTCTCAATGATAGGCTTTATTAGGCGCAATACTCAAGAGTTCAGAGGTCCAGTAACTTTAAAATCCCTTTATATATCTTTAGTAAGAAGCCGTCTGGAATACTGTTCTATAATATGGAGTCCATATTATGAAGTACAAAATAGAAAGAGTTCAAAAGATTTTCACCAAATTCGCTATTTGCAAGTTGCCCTGGCAAAGTTATGTTCCTCCCTATATTGGCAGACGTAAATTGCTGCTCCAGTCTTTGAAGGAAAGAAGAGATTTCTTCTCTATTATATTTATTTATAAAATAATCAATGTGCACATAAATAGCGCTTATTTAACAAATTTATTTGTTTATGAAGTCTATCAACAGGATGTTCTTACAGACTACACATATTAGAAAAAATTACATATTATAAAATATTATTGAGATTACTTAAATAAGATTCAAGCCGATTTCGGAAAATACCCTTTAGCAGAGAGAGATCAAGGTCTAGAGAACTAGAAATCGTATTGATTTCTTTCTAAGTTCTATTTAAGGGAGCATTTCGGCTGTAAAGAGTTTTGCTAATAGCGACTCTAAGCAAATCAGTATGCCCCAAAATTCTGCTAGGAACATTGAAATAAATTCTGCTGAGCAATAAGGGGCNAGCAGAGAGAGATCAAGGTCTAGAGAACTAGAAATCGTATTGATTTCTTTCTAAGTTCTATTTAAGGGAGCATTTCGGCTGTAAAGAGTTTTGCTAATAGCGACTCTAAGCAAATCAGTATGCCCCAAAATTCTGCTAGGAACATTGAAATAAATTCTGCTGAGCAATAAGGGGCAATCAACGTTACCGGAAATTACATCGAAAATGAAGGAAATGGACAGGAAAATTCTTCGGTTATGCAACGGCATTAAGTTAATTAATTGACAACGTGAAAAATAGGATGGGATAGGGTCGGAGAAGTTAAGCGTTCTTAAGGCGTGTCGGATAAACACGCGCTGGACTGACTCAATCCTGTTTATGTGGACTTGGTAATAAGGTCTCCAAATAAAGTCAGCGTACTCTTATCTTGATCGAACAAATGCAGAGTATAAGACTTTGTGAGTATAGGGAAACGCAGTACTGTTGCGTCTTACAAAAGCAAGCATCGAAAATGAAATAGCGACGATATAATTTACATGCGTAGTGAAAGTAAATTTCGAATCGAAAAATACTCCTAGGTCCTTAACTACTTTGAGAGACTCCAATCTAGTATCAGAAATACTGTATGATGTGGGTAGCGGTGTAGATTGTTTTGAAAACGTGATTTGGTTACATTTTTTAATGTTAAGAAATCAGCGATTCTTAACACACCACAAAAACAATCTGTCAAGATCAGCTTGAAGTAAAAGAGCGTCATTATTACATCTAATAACTGAGTAGACTTTTAAATCATCTGCGTATAAGAGATACTTAGATGTAGTAAAGGACGACCCGATGTCATTAATAAATATTAAGAAGAACAACGGGCCCAATATACTACCTTGCGGAACTCCAGAGGTGAGCAAAAAGGTCTTCGAAGAAGCGCCATCAAGAACAACGGAACTAGTTCTGTGTGATAGATAGGTCTTTATCAACTGAAGCATGGACGAGTGAAACCCAAGCTGCGAAAGTTTACTAATTAAAATCGTGGGCGAAATTCTATCAAATGCCTTGGAAAAGTCCGTGTATATTGTATCCATTTGATACCCTGCTAGGAAACTTTTAATACAGTCGTCAGTAAAAACGGCGAGATTAGTTACAGTGGATCTACCTGCAACAAAACCATGCTGATTGGAGCTTATTACACGCGGTAAAGTATAAAACAGCCTATTTTACAACGCTTTTATCAACTTGCAATGTTGTGTGTCCAGAAACTTTCAATGTTGTGGATCCAGAAACTTTCAATGTTGTGTGTCCGACACCATAAAGCTTTGCTTTGAAAAGTTCCTATAAAAAAGCATAGTGCATAGGGCGACATCTGTAGTGAATAGGGCGAGGTAGATGACATCTAGATGTCGCCCTATGTACTACGTTTGCTACAGCGGAAATAGACGACACGCCATTTTTTTAAATAAAATTAATTGGTGCTCGTTTGTATGTACATACATATGTAAATGCATGTGTGTGCACCTTTCTATTAATATCGTTGAATTATTTTAATATCTATTGCAAAATTTTATTCAGACAGGACTAAAAAGTAGAAAATAAATAATATAAAAAAAACTTTTTAATATACAACGCTTTTATAAATGGACTAAAAAGTAGAAAATAATATTTCTCAGTCCCATAGAATTTGTTTTGATAACTTTTGATTTTGAAATTTTAGCAAAAGTCATTATAAACAATCTATGAAATTGAAAATGAAAAGCGTGGGGCGCATGTAATACACTTGAATTGATATGAAAAGTAATACATGTATGTATGTATGTGGGTATATGAATAACGACCGCTTAAAATCGATTTCCAATATTAAAGAAATTATGCATATTAGGCGGGGAAATTTCGCTACAGGGCAAATATAATTTAAACTAAATGTTATCGCTAACAAAAATTAAGTCTAAGATCTGATTTAGACTATTAGAGAACCCATTGACTTGTGGTAAATCGATTCTTAATAAATTATCAACTAAGTAGGACTCGGTATTACTGCTAATATTAGATGGAGTTAAATACATGTTGTTGTGAAAATAGGTCCACGTAATATTGCTAAGGTTAAAGTCCCCTAAAACACATAACTGGTGAGCACTAATTTCCGATTGTAGAGCAATAATGTTATCGACATGAGTACAATAAATGCAGTCCTCACTGGCTGGCGGAATATAAGATGCGCAGAGGTATAGCAATCCGGAGGCACCTTTCAGTCGCACACAAAGCTGATCAAGCATGGAATCGGTGCATTTTAATGCTACTGAAGACGCTTGAAGTTCACAACGGGAGGCAATTAGCATGCCCCCACCTCTACAGCAACCAGTTTTTACGGCATCTCGATCCTTACGGAAAACGTCATAGCGGTTCAGATCAAAAAACTCAGCATCGAAAATTTTTTCATTAAGCCACGTCTCGATAATGACAAATACGTCATAGTCCAATTGCGAACTCAGCAGGCGCATATCTTCTGACTTTGTTCTTAAACCTGAGGCATTGTGAAAGTATATTTTAATAGATTTGCGGTCATTAGAAGCCGGCTCCGCTAAGCTGTTTGATGATCGGGCAATGTTTTCTCGAAAAAAACGAAACGGACGAACGGCCACATTGACAGGCCAGAGGTCTGAGCTTAATATAGATTCAAATGAGTACTCAGGAACACCTAGTTTGAAATTTATTCTTTTCAAGTCAGCATCAGGTGTACCTTTTTTTACCAGCTTGTAGCAAGACATACTATTTTTATTGACATTTGAGTGCTTTGCGACATAGTCAATAATATTATTCTCCGTGACTGATTTTGAGAAGGAAGATCAATGCAACCACTTGAGTCGAACTGCAACCTCCAACTCAATATTTGAATCAGCGCCCCAAACAGTCTTCTTATTTAAGTTTATACGCTTTTTTTCTCCACTGTGGGCCACTGTGCACCATTACTTGGTATAGGTGCCTTAACACCAACACTATGATTGTTATTAACAGCAGCAGCACCAGCAACCCCAACATCAGCGTTCTTGTCAATAACAGGCGTAGCGGGCAGTGCATTGAAAACATGAGTAGCATCCGTGCTAATAGTTGCCGACTCATGTGCAGCATTAGAAGACAAAGGCACAGCTTTGATATTTGTAACCAGTGTGACCGTTTTGATCCAAGTGGATCAAAACTGATACATTTTTCGATGAATTTTGGAGAGATACTTTTTTTCAATTTTGATACTTTTCCAAATCAAAAAAATCTGTAAATTGTTATGCATTACAGAACATGTCGTGCACCTGTGGCAACGTGCATCCAAAAGTTCATTGTCGTTCTCTGAACGAACCTTTCATGTATTGTGATTCATGGTCCATGTCAAAACACGTCAAAATGTGAACAAACGAACAATATCATAGCGTTGCATTTTTTTTTATTTTCGCTATGTTCAATAACAAAAATTAGGGATTGGTACTCGGCAATTCGGTGCTCGGTAAGGCCCTGTTTCCACAGGAAAACACCAATGTCGTGATAACCATGTCACAAAATATATTTCCAATGGATACCTTATTGCTTGGCATCTATTGCATAGTTTGACAGCCATATTTTCACTTGACAGAAAGCGTGCTGGTGGTTATATCGATGAAATATTAATATTAAATCAAAATAATAATCTGTATTTTCAGTTGACAGAAAGCGTGCTGGTGGTTATATCGATGAAATATTAATATTAAATCAAAATAAGGATCTGTTCCCTATTGGATTATTTATGACAACGTTTTAGGAAGTTATTCAGTAAGTTTGTTTAAGATTTAAATGTTTTTTAACACCGAAATTGGGATAATTTTGTCTGGCGGCGTCATGCGGCAAATGCTTATACATATCTAGACATCAAAGTGCCCACACACAACAGTTGGTAGGCAATAAAAATTGCAAGGTGTAACTGCAACTGAAAATGCGCAAATCACACTCGGGAAATACTTTCAACTTGCTCGTGCAATAAATGTTAAATTGTTTTGGAAAATGGTTTTTCATAAAAATTATTGGTTTTATTCCATATTGATGCTTTGATACTTAAAGGAAAAAAAAGTGATACATATTGATACATTTTAAGTTTCTTTTCTGCTACAATTTTTCACAAGCCCGCGGTCACACTGTTTGTAACATTGGCATAGGTACGAGTAATATTGGCATTAGGAGTCATACGCTTCGCTGGCATAACAGGTGAGAGAGCCGCATTGGTCACTGTTCGCTTTCCATTGCCATTAGCAGGTGGTGCAACAGTTGGATTGGGCAGCGGAGAAGCACTTTGGGAAACAGCGTCAGCAGAGAAACGGCTTATACTCTCACAATTGTTGTCATTGTCGACAGCAACAACGTTAGAACTCACAACAGCACTTTTGATGACATTTAGTTCGGCAGCTAAGGCTTTAATGCTAGAAGCGTTGTTGTTGCCAATGGCGATATTTTGTGTGGTTGAATTTATTTCAGTTTTTAATAATTCTATCTGCACATAAATATCGTTGAATTTCGCACCAAGAACATTTAACACTTTTTCGAAGCCTTGCTTTTGCATGTTTAGAGCCGAATCGAAAGCTTGGCAAATCGATTTAGATGTATCTATACACGTAGAGCACAAATAGCAAATATGGCGATTGAGATTAATCAATCCAAGANTTCTGACTTTGTTCTTAAACCTGAGGCATTGTGAAAGTATATTTTAATAGATTTGCGGTCATTAGAAGCCGGCTCCGCTAAGCTGTTTGATGATCGGGCAATGTTTTCTCGAAAAAAACGAAACGGACGAACGGCCACATTGACAGGCCAGAGGTCTGAGCTTAATATAGATTCAAATGAGTACTCAGGAACACCTAGTTTGAAATTTATTCTTTTCAAGTCAGCATCAGGTGTACCTTTTTTTACCAGCTTGTAGCAAGACATACTATTTTTATTGACATTTGAGTGCTTTGCGACATAGTCAATAATATTATTCTCCGTGACTGATTTTGAGAAGGAAGATCAATGCAACCACTTGAGTCGAACTGCAACCTCCAACTCAATATTTGAATCAGCGCCCCAAACAGTCTTCTTATTTAAGTTTATACGCTTTTTTTCTCCACTGTGGGCCACTGTGCACCATTACTTGGTATAGGTGCCTTAACACCAACACTATGATTGTTATTAACAGCAGCAGCACCAGCAACCCCAACATCAGCGTTCTTGTCAATAACAGGCGTAGCGGGCAGTGCATTGAAAACATGAGTAGCATCCGTGCTAATAGTTGCCGACTCATGTGCAGCATTAGAAGACAAAGGCACAGCTTTGATATTTGTAACCAGTGTGACCGTTTTGATCCAAGTGGATCAAAACTGATACATTTTTCGATGAATTTTGGAGAGATACTTTTTTTCAATTTTGATACTTTTCCAAATCAAAAAAATCTGTAAATTGTTATGCATTACAGAACATGTCGTGCACCTGTGGCAACGTGCATCCAAAAGTTCATTGTCGTTCTCTGAACGAACCTTTCATGTATTGTGATTCATGGTCCATGTCAAAACACGTCAAAATGTGAACAAACGAACAATATCATAGCGTTGCATTTTTTTTTATTTTCGCTATGTTCAATAACAAAAATTAGGGATTGGTACTCGGCAATTCGGTGCTCGGTAAGGCCCTGTTTCCACAGGAAAACACCAATGTCGTGATAACCATGTCACAAAATATATTTCCAATGGATACCTTATTGCTTGGCATCTATTGCATAGTTTGACAGCCATATTTTCACTTGACAGAAAGCGTGCTGGTGGTTATATCGATGAAATATTAATATTAAATCAAAATAATAATCTGTATTTTCAGTTGACAGAAAGCGTGCTGGTGGTTATATCGATGAAATATTAATATTAAATCAAAATAAGGATCTGTTCCCTATTGGATTATTTATGACAACGTTTTAGGAAGTTATTCAGTAAGTTTGTTTAAGATTTAAATGTTTTTTAACACCGAAATTGGGATAATTTTGTCTGGCGGCGTCATGCGGCAAATGCTTATACATATCTAGACATCAAAGTGCCCACACACAACAGTTGGTAGGCAATAAAAATTGCAAGGTGTAACTGCAACTGAAAATGCGCAAATCACACTCGGGAAATACTTTCAACTTGCTCGTGCAATAAATGTTAAATTGTTTTGGAAAATGGTTTTTCATAAAAATTATTGGTTTTATTCCATATTGATGCTTTGATACTTAAAGGAAAAAAAAGTGATACATATTGATACATTTTAAGTTTCTTTTCTGCTACAATTTTTCACAAGCCCGCGGTCACACTGTTTGTAACATTGGCATAGGTACGAGTAATATTGGCATTAGGAGTCATACGCTTCGCTGGCATAACAGGTGAGAGAGCCGCATTGGTCACTGTTCGCTTTCCATTGCCATTAGCAGGTGGTGCAACAGTTGGATTGGGCAGCGGAGAAGCACTTTGGGAAACAGCGTCAGCAGAGAAACGGCTTATACTCTCACAATTGTTGTCATTGTCGACAGCAACAACGTTTGAACTCACAACAGCACTTTTGATGACATTTAGTTCGGCAGCTAAGGCTTTAATGCTAGAAGCGTTGTTGTTGCCAATGGCGATATTTTGTGTGGTTGAATTTATTTGAGTTTTTAATAATTCTATCTGCACATAAATATCGTTGAATTTCGCACCAAGAACATTTAACACTTTTTCGAAGCCTTGCTTTTGCATGTTTAGAGCCGAATCGAAAGCTTGGCAAATCGATTTAGATGTATCTATACACGTAGAGCACAAATAGCAAATATGGCGATTGAGATTAATNATTTTCAGTTGACAGAAAGCGTGCTGGTGGTTATATCGATGAAATATTAATATTAAATCAAAATAAGGATCTGTTCCCTATTGGATTATTTATGACAACGTTTTAGGAAGTTATTCAGTAAGTTTGTTTAAGATTTAAATGTTTTTTAACACCGAAATTGGGATAATTTTGTCTGGCGGCGTCATGCGGCAAATGCTTATACATATCTAGACATCAAAGTGCCCACACACAACAGTTGGTAGGCAATAAAAATTGCAAGGTGTAACTGCAACTGAAAATGCGCAAATCACACTCGGGAAATACTTTCAACTTGCTCGTGCAATAAATGTTAAATTGTTTTGGAAAATGGTTTTTCATAAAAATTATTGGTTTTATTCCATATTGATGCTTTGATACTTAAAGGAAAAAAAAGTGATACATATTGATACATTTTAAGTTTCTTTTCTGCTACAATTTTTCACAAGCCCGCGGTCACACTGTTTGTAACATTGGCATAGGTACGAGTAATATTGGCATTAGGAGTCATACGCTTCGCTGGCATAACAGGTGAGAGAGCCGCATTGGTCACTGTTCGCTTTCCATTGCCATTAGCAGGTGGTGCAACAGTTGGATTGGGCAGCGGAGAAGCACTTTGGGAAACAGCGTCAGCAGAGAAACGGCTTATACTCTCACAATTGTTGTCATTGTCGACAGCAACAACGTTTGAACTCACAACAGCACTTTTGATGACATTTAGTTCGGCAGCTAAGGCTTTAATGCTAGAAGCGTTGTTGTTGCCAATGGCGATATTTTGTGTGGTTGAATTTATTTGAGTTTTTAATAATTCTATCTGCACATAAATATCGTTGAATTTCGCACCAAGAACATTTAACACTTTTTCGAAGCCTTGCTTTTGCATGTTTAGAGCCGAATCGAAAGCTTGGCAAATCGATTTAGATGTATCTATACACGTAGAGCACAAATAGCAAATATGGCGATTGAGATTAATCAATCCAAGATCATAGTCAGTGACCTGGCCTTCACAGCTGGAGCGATGGAAACGCAGACTACAGAATCCACTACAAGGCACTATGTTAGAGTCATTTCTTGCAAACCGCTTTTCGCATTTACAGCAGGAGTCGGTCATATTTCGATTTTATTGAATTTCACAAGAGCGTGGTAAAAACACGTTTACACAGCTCGACGACTTTTACACATTTGCTCGTATTATATAATCCCTCGCGTGATTTAAGAAACAAAAGGCTATTGGTTGGTGCTCTGCATACCACGAATTATACCAAAAATGAACCAATTGCTAGATGCATTGAATTGTGCAATACATATTCTAGTGTTATCGATTTTAACTTAAGTATTGTTGGATTTAAGAGTAATTTGTTTACAATATTCAACTAGAGTCTTCACTAGTATGTAAGAAACTAATTCTGTAGGCTGAAATTAATAAATAAATATACATACATACTTGGTTCTCTATGTTCTCTATAGATGTACTATTTAAATGTAAAGAAATAAAGCAAACAAATTAAAAAGTTAAGTTATTGGAGTACACGGAAACCACATACTTTGCAATTTCAATTACATGAATGGAAGAAACTTCAAACTTGATTTCCCAACATTTTAATTTTTACACATTCATGTTTCTGGCGATATTTTTACTATGGTTTAATACGTTTATAACAACTCAGCCCTATTACTAAATTAAAAATAAAATTTTGCCTTTTTGCTTTCATAAATTTCTGCCATGGAAATGCCCATGCACATACATACATAAGTATATGGAACTAGAAAACTGGTTACGCTGGAGAAAATTGCATTACCTTCAGGGGGCAATGCTGTGCGTTTATGTTGATTAAAATATTCATAAGCGTATAGCTTTTCCCCTTAAATGTTATTGCGCTGACGACAGTTATTATATATATCGCTAGCTTAGTGTGAAAAGTTGGTAAGTCCCATTTCAAAAAATTTACAGGAGAGGAAAAAAACTTATAGCCATTTTCTTCAAATATTTCGAAAGCTTTGAATACAACATTTTGCCTGTTCAATGAAAAGCAAAACTCCATACGAATCAGAGGGATTCGATCTTTATTAAAAGATTTCGTACTATTTTGGCCTTATCGGATTTTCGGTGCTTCTTTTGGACTTATCAAATTTCCGTTTCATTGAATATAAACGAGAATAAATAAAACAAGTACCTTTATCCTTTTCGAATCAACGCCTTTTAAATTTCTATATCTCCCAGTATCAAAGTCCGAGCTGGTTTCGGCTGTCGCACAGTGTTATAAACCAATTTTATACATACAGTGACGAACAACACAGTGGAACAATGAATTTTTCGCAATATATGCAAAGATTTTTTTTCTAATTTATTTTCATTATCTTTTTATAAAAATATGGTTCATACTACACCAAACACCATAAAAATAAAATCACTAAACTTTGTGCAAAACTCAGGAAAATTCAATAAATTTGCATACTAATTTGCAACTTTTTATTCAGATTTTCTAGAAAAATTCTAAGTATGCAGTATTATGGCCCATTCAACTTTAGTATAAGAAAGTTCAAGTTTGAAGATGCTAAAAAATCGCGTTGATTTTTAGCAATTTATTTTCACGTAGGTTCTTCCAAAGTATGTTCGACAAAAATTTTTTTTTATGGAGAAAATGAGCAACACCTTCCACTAAAAGCAATTGCCAAATTCAACGCGATTTTCTAGCAATTTCAAACGTGCGCTTTCTTATACTAAAATTTAATGGACTATAAAACTGCATACTTAGAATTTTTCTAAAAATCTGAATAAAAAGTTGCAGGTTAGTATGCAGATTTAATGAATTTTCCTGAGTTTTGTACAAAGTTTAGAGATTTTATTTTTATGTTTTTTTTTTTTTGGAGTATGACCAATATTTTTTATAAAAGAAGTAAGAAAGTCTAACTTCGGCCGGAGCCGAACATTAAATACCCGGCGCAAGTATTTAAATGCTGTTCGTTCACCTTTCCGAAAACTACCGCTACATAGTAAGCAGGGGTGGTTTTACCCCTACTTTAAACATCTTCGATAGAACGTTCAGTTAGACATAATGAGATAAACTTATAGTCATATGTGGGCGTTATCACGCCCATTTCCAAAATTCCAAATAATGTTACCACTTTTTAAGGGATTGTTGTTATCATACATTTTGAGTAAATTAGCGTCCTTAAATTTCGATATCGAAGTTTCAAGCATTTCTGAAATTTACCGTTATATGAAAAGTGGCCGTAATTTTAGTCCGATTTCAATAATTTTCAACGTTTTGCTTTTATGTGGCAAGCACAATAACCATACCGAGTGTGGTACAAATTGGTAGAACGGTTACCGAGATACATATATGTGATCATAAGTGGGCGGTGCCACGCCTATTTTCCAAAATTTTATCAGAAACGTTTTTCTTGCTGAAGAATTATTGAAAGTATTAATTTTGAATAAATTAGCTTTATTATTTACTGATTTATCGAAGATTTCTCTAAATTACCGTTATATGGGATCTGGGCGTGGTTATTGTCCGATTTTAAAAATTTTCAGCCGTTTGTATGTCTTGTCAAGACCAACAACTGCGCCAAGTTTGAGAGAAATTGGTGTAGCGGTTCCCAAGATATACACATGTAATCATAAGTGGGCGTGGCTACGCCCATTTTTTTAAATTTATAATATTGTTTTTCGCCTAAAAATTATTGTACTTAA